ACATTGTTGGCCTTCTAAGGACTGAAACACCACCGAGGGGGATAAATATCTCCGACTCAACACCAGTCAGTCAGAACTGATGAAGCCTCTTGGATGAGAGGTGAAACGTCTTCAATCTAGAATTCCAAGTCCAGTTGATTTCCAAGGTTATTTTGGTTGCGGTTTACTATGACCTGGATGACTGAGAATCTGCACAGTTAATATGAATTAAATGTTTTCCTTCATCTGTCACTGATGTTTGGATCCCTGTTAATCTGTCTTGTTGTCCTTCAGGTTGGGGAGAACTTTGTTCCACCGTTGCTGGATGCTGTCCTCATTGACTACCAGCGTAATGTCCCTGCTGCTCGTGAACCTGAGGTCCTCAGCACCATGGCAACCATTGTCAACAAGCTGGGGGGACACATCACCAGTGAGATACCCCAGATCTTTGATGCTGTCTTTGAGTGTACCCTAAACATGATCAACAAGGTGGGACAGTGAGCTTTGTATTTCTCCATCTTGGTTGAAATGTTGTACACTAATATTAAGACTCATTGCATGAGTCTTAATACTTTAGGCAGAATGCAGACCTTTAACAGCTTCAGTGGAAATCTACTTGCTTTCAGTGCAGTAGGTAGTAAAGGCTGAATACCATTATAAAGCCTCATCCGGTTCTTTCAAACCAGGAACTCAGAGGGACGACTCAGACCACTTGAGTATATAAAAATTATAACCGTGCTGGTTTATTCAAAAAGTCACAGGCAAGAATTTACACTTCAAGTCCAGAGATCTTCCAACCCCCAGGCTGCCAAAAGCAGCCCGGAAACAGCAAGACCCCGAACCAAGCATTGCTATACAATATTAATCCTTTCTGGGCTGTCGAACCGTGACGTCACCTGATATGCCAGCTTGGCAGCTGAGCAGAGCAGTAGACCAAACATGAAGAAAATAATGTGTGTGGCTGTTGTTTTCGTGGTGTGTATCTAAAACAATTTGACATAACATTACACATTAAGACAAATATTATGGTTACTTTTACCGTCATAATAACATTCGTCCCTGACTGCCGCCTTTCTCTGCTTTTAACTAACCTTGCATTTAACAGCCTGAGGAAGACATCCTGGCTGCACTAACAGTCCTAGACAACAAATCTCTGAATATCTATCTAACTAAAAAATAACCTAACAAAATAACCTAACAGTAGTAAGCACCTAGTCATCAAGAAAACCCAAGACTTGAGTTAGGTTTCATTTGCACTTAGATGAGCTATATCATGTCGCCTTCACTGTAGTCTGTTAATCACAGTGCAATGTTGGATTAATACTGTCACAGTTTGACATGGTGGGGCCCCTGAAAACCGAGATAAATGCCTTAAATATCAATCAAAGCAAAATGAATGGGCTGACATGAGCAAGACAGTACAGGAGCAGGGACTTTGACATTGTAACACTTTTTTTTTCTTCTTCTTCTATGGGCACATTACTGGTCACACCTGCACAGCTGTATGCATTTCGGTGCGAAACTTTGGCCTTAATATCTGTGTTTATGAAGCTCAAAATTTTTGTTTTTGGTGAAATTATCTGAAACATATCAATTCAATTATGTTTATTGTCAAGGTCTTAGTTAAAGGTGGTGTTGTACTGGACTACATTGTATTTTAAGATGCTATATTTTTGTCTTCTCAGCTGGCCAAAAAAAAATTGGCACCCCTGCATTTCAGATAATGCACCACTTCTCCCAGAAAATTGTTGCATTGTATTCTCATGTTTATTTCTTCTGTTTGTATTGGAGCAACACAAAAAAGCCAAATCTCATACATTCCACACACAACTCCAAAAATGGACAGGACAGAATTATTGACACCCTCGACTTAATATTTGGTAGCATACCCTTTGGATAAAATAACTGAAATCAACCATTTCCTGTAGCCATTAGTGAGTTTCTTCCTGTTGGAGTTTTGGACCACTCTTCTTTTGCCAACTGCTCCAGGTCTCTCATTACAAATTAAAGGAGCATCACATGCGTGCGCGTGTGTGTGTGTGTGTGTGTGTGTGTG